ATTGCTCAGCACAGCCTCTTCTGCTTCAAATTGTCACAACTGGTTCTCCTTGAGTTTGTTCCATGAGTGACACAACAAAGTGTACTGTCCAATAAAGGGTGATTCCTATTTTCTGCCCCCCACTCCGGGGGGTGGGTAGCTGTGTTAAATCTATTGCAGCAAGAGCAACAGTCTTGTGACACCTTTAGCTTAAAACTTGGCCCTCACTAGTCAAGGTTAGGAAGGGTCAAATCTGAACAATTTAAATTAAATAATAGGGAAAGAGATTACTGTTGTCACAACAGCAAATTTATACGCAGTGCTTTTTTCTGGGGCGGGGGCAGGGGTACACATACCCCTAAACATTTTGTGAATCAAAGTTTGGCCTCATTGAGGGCAGTATTTCAATACGAGTAGGAAAATGAGAGTACCCCTAAACATTTTTTTAGAAAAAAGCACTGTTTATATGCAACATATACATGTTATTTCACCTTGCTTCATATAAGGAAGTAACAGGGCACATCTGTTACAAACATTTCCTTCAGCCTGTGGATTTATTCTTTTCATGCTATTGCTGGATGTGTATATATGCACCGAGGCTTTGAACCTAAATGCATTTACTTTGACATAAGGTCAACTGCAATAAGAGAGATATGCAATCCATGTTTAGGAGAGTGGTGTTAGACAAAGAAACCCTCCCTAACCTGATGACTATGGTATCCTGCGCATGTTTTTCTTCTTCAAATAATCTAACCTACTTCACAGAGTTGCTGCGAGAATAAAATGGAGGGAAATGTTTACCCTTCTTCCTGAGCTCATTGGAAGAAGTACAGAATAAAAAGACAGTAAGTAACTCAGGAAAATACTTCCCCCTACCTCCTTGAAATTTATCCAAGCCAGAGGTAGCCAGTGTGGTGTCTCCAGGTGTGAGGCTTCAACTCGCAATATCCCCATCCAGGATGGTCAGAGGTCAGAGCTCACGGGAGCTGTAGCTCCGGAGGACCACATGGGCTACCCCTGAATTAAGCACTATCTCTAGGTTCCCCAGTGGCTGCACTGAGCAAGACCGGAAGCAGTAGACAAATTTACTTGTCATCATTTATCTCATCAAGGAATCCCACACAAGCTTAACCCCCATAAACTGTGGTAAAGAGGATAGAGCAAGAATTTGGTATGTGAGGATGGAAACAACCAGGCGTCTCACAGGCATCAAATATTCTCACACTGGATGAATTAATCCATAATAGGACCTTCCAAATCCTAGCTGCACTTACAGCCATTAAAACAGAATGGGATTGGAATTTCAATGCAGTCAATAAGCAGGCACTGAAAGAGTGAAATAACAACCCACACCCTTTGTAGACCCCTTGATAGTAGATTATAGAAGTGCAGCAAGTTGTAATTAAGCAGAAGTACTCTAAAATACATGTTCTACAGGGACAGTTTACTATTCAGGACATATACTTGATTTTCTTGTGTGAGAAGAAAACAACTGGGCGAGGACTAGGTATTTAATTCTACTCTTGAGTAAAATCCTACCAGAAGACTTCTTTTAAAGCCATCTTGTAGAGCGATAAGTTTGGCTTTCCTGCTGCTCAGGCAAGCCCAGTAAGGGCCACAAATTTACCCAAGCTGAGCCTACACACATCCAGCTTTAAAATCTAAAGGTCATTCCACATCAAATCAACGCAAAAAACTAGGGTTTCACCACCCACTGTCTCGGATTTTGATGAAACTTGCTGAACTCCCTTCCATTATGGTTGAAAGAAACCTCCTTAAATTTTTTTCCTCTATCACAAACAGTTTTGATTTTATAGCACTTCAGAGTTTTGTAAAATCTGCCTTTCTGTCCCTCTTGAGATCCTCGGCCTTGTGTACGTCCCACGTCCCCCCATAACTAATGATCAGATCTCTTTGAAATTTCACACAGAGCTCAATAACATCATGAGGATTTCAGGAAAAAATACACCAGCACCCAAAAGATTTTATAAATGTCTAAAAAAAAATGTATAAATATAGTTTTTGGGTGGAAAAACTAGGTTTAGAAAACCTAAATTTTCAGCATGTGGGCACAATGGAATCAAGAGTTTTTGATGGTGAAAATTATTGCAAAGACATGCTCTTTCTCAACAAAGAATAAAATTTATGTTATGTCTTGTAACAAAATTTTACATTTTTTGGACATCATGGGGAAAAATGGCTACTGGGCACAACTTTCCTGCAATCCATAGCTGTAATAGAAAAAATTAATGAAACAAAGTTGTTCATCATAAAATCTAAAATAATATTGGTTATTACAGGGGTTTTTTTCTTTTCAAAGGTGTATTTCAACCATAAGGGAAGGGTGTACACCAAGTTTCATCAAAATCTGAGATGGTGGGTGGCATGACCGCGTTGAAATGCTGTGGAATGACCCCTAAGGCACCACCATGGGATTAGGGATCCAAACTGTACAGAGTTCTGTTCATGTAGAGGAACCTGCACCTGTGCAGCTGTACACATGTAGGGTCCCTTGTCCAGACTTTGCACCAACCACATGGTGGTGAGATAAGTGGGTACACTCATGTTGGGGACAGGACCAGCAGGCATGGCCCCACTCCTCTTCCATGTATGGATAAATGAATGAATGAATGAATGAATGGGAAAGCTTGTGGAAAGGGCTTTAGCTAAAAGTGAGATGAAATGAAAAATGAGTTTAATTTTCACACCACCTTTCTATATTACTATACACAAGGCAGCTTACAAGCCGAAGAAACAACAAAATATACAGCAAAGATCACACACCTAATAACAATCTGATCCAATACAGAAAAGTCATAATAAAAACATAACTTTAAAATAAACAACTTATATCAAATAAAGAATTATCCAATAATTCATTAGAATAGTAAACAGTAAAATTAAATACAGTGGTACCTCAGGTTACATATGCTTCAGGTTACATGCGCTTCAGGTTACAGACTCCACTAACCCAGAAATAGTGCTTCAGGTTAAGAACTTTGCTTCAGGACAAGAACAGAAATCGGGCGGCGGCAGCAGGAGGCCCCATTAGCTAAAGTGGTGCTTCAGGTTAAGAACAGTTTCAGGTTAAGAACGGACCTCCGGAACGAATTAAGTATTTAACCCGAGGTACCACTGTATAACCCACACCTTTAAAATTGGGGGGGGGGGAGAGAAAAAACAAACAAACAAACCCCCCCCCGAATATAAACCACTCCATTCCTCGCTGCTCCTGGCTGCATGGGGGGGGCGCTGCATTGTTGGCGGCCTTTCCCCTTCCCAGCCTTGAGGAAGAGGACACCACTTTGCTGTGCTCCTAGAGCTGTTTGCCCCATGCTCCTGGCTACATACCGCAAGGTTGCGAATATAAGCCACACTTTAACTTTTCACGGTCAGAATTTGGGGGGGAAATGAGGCTTATATTCAGGCTGATACGGTAAATACAGTAAAGAATTACTAAACTATAATCAATAAAATATCAGCAAGACACAATGCATAAAATACCACAAAAACATACAAATACCACAAAACATGAAAAACGATGAAAAAGGATTAAACTGAGAAACAAGGACTCACAACTTACGATTTTTTATTTTTTATTTTAATATCCCTGAACTCCTCTCTTCCCAGATGCTTCTGCTGTTCTCAAAGTCATGGTCTGGGAAAGGCTTCTAGGCCTGGAGGGTGGGGCAAGGCAGGTGGGAAAAGCCATTGCCTGATGGCCAGCACAGTGTCTCTCCCTTAACTTTAATTAAAAGAAGCTTGCATATCAGGGCTGGGAAACAACCTTGCCCAAGTCCTTGGAAGGAAAACTTCTGAGCAGTCAACTGAGCTTTTATGAAGGGGGCAGAGGACCTTGCTTGGAGCCTAAAGTAAGAGTTCTCTATCACTTTAAAAGACTTCATGTTTTTATTGTTTGGTGTTTGCTACGCAGATGTATCTGACCCTCTTAAAAACCTATAACTTCAAGACCTTATAGCAGGAGCAGGAAACCTGTGGCCCTTGAGAAAATTACAACATCCACCATCGCACAACAGTACTCTTCCTTCCTACTGTTTCCAGCTGCTGTTATTTTACTTTTTTATTATTATTCAGAAGCACACTGCTTCACTGCAACAGTGGAGGCAGAACGTAGCCATTAGGGTTAGTAGTCACCAATAGCCTTCATGAATTCTTGTTTAAAATAAGGTTACCAGATTTTTTTCAATGAATCTGGGGACACTTTTCAACTTCAGTAGGAATGATAGAATTTTGTATGGGGACTGCTTTGTAAATCCAGGGACATCTGGTAACCTTAGTTTAAAACCTTCAAACTGGTGTCAGGTAAATATGGTTTCACACTAGAAAAACCCTAAGATCTTCCAACCAGAGCCAGGTGCAAAAAACAATAGTTTGAATTAAACAAGGCGCCTCTGACCGAGCACAATCTGGACCTAGGAAAGTGGTTCCAGGACCAGAACTGAACAAGGCGCAAAGCCATTTCACACAAGAGACCATACCTGGTTATCCCATGCTTTCTAAACACCAGCTGCCTAAACTGATGGGAGGATGTTGCTATTCTAAAACCACCGGGGAGTCAGAAACGCTTTGTTGCTCTAGTCCATGGCGAATAACCCAGAGATCGGCCAGTAGATCCCTTATGCTCTGTTTGACTGATTATCTTCTCTCGCGGAAACCGTCCACTCCGCCCGCAGGTGTGCAGGGACACCTCGTCGAAGCCGGAGAAACCTGCACAGGAGTCACCGCGTTTTCTTTGGTGCAGCTGCTGGCACAGTGCCGAGCCTCTCGGTACGGAGAAAGGACGGAGGATTAAACATCTGCAATCCCGCCAACTTTCCAAGCAAGCAAGCAAACACGTCGCGCCGCCGCCTCTTACCCAACTTGTCTCTCAACCGGCAAAGGCTACTTTTCAGCATCCAGAGCGGAACGTCTTGAGGCGCTGCCGCAGGACCTACCCGGACTGCTTTTTGAGAGGGACCGGACGTCGTTCGCTTTCCCCTGTCTCTAGGGTCGCCGGATATCCAACGCCGTTGCCGGAAGTTGCCGACAAGTGTTTCCAGGGGCTTGCTGGGGCGAGAGTTCCTCGAGTTTGGCGGCTGCGCTTCCCTTCCTCGGGGCGCGGAAGGGAGGTGAGAAGTGGGCGAAGGCTGCGTCGGGCGGGCGTGGCATCCCCTGCCCTTCGCCTTTCCCTCTTCGCGGCCACACGGTGGGCCCGGGCTAAACTTCCCCAGTATCTTCCCTTGAGGCTGCTCTTCTCTATTCCCTCCCACCCGGGCAGGGCCTCTGCTCTCACTTTAACAGAGCTGCGCGAGGAGTCTAGAAGCCCGCGGGTGCAGCAATAAAGGCAATAAAGCGTCACCTGTGGAACTCGTGCTCCTTGGGCAGCCGGAGTTCAAGGTACAGGAGTTGCGGTCGGAGAGAAGGGTCATAGAAGTGAATTGAGAGACATGATCTGGAAAGGACCACGAGGGCCATCTAGTCCAACCCTTTGTAACGCAGGGATCTTTTCCCCAACGTGGGGCGTGAGCCCACGACTCTGAGATGGAGAGTCTCATGCGACTAAATTCCTGTTGCCAGAAACTCTTCTACCACTATTCCTTTTCATTCCTCTTTTGTTTTTCCCCCCTTGTTGGCCGCAGAGGCAAGTACAGTGGTACCTCGGGTTACAGACGCTTCAGGTTACAGACTCTGCTAACCCAGAAATAGTACCTCGGGTTAAGAACTTTGCTTCAGGATGAGAACAGAAATTGGGCCGCAGCAGCAGCCGGAGGCCCCATTAGCTAAAGTGGTACCTCGGGTTAAGAACAGTTTCAGGTTAAGAACGGACCTCCAGAATGAATTAAGTCCTTAACCTGAGGTACCACTGTATGTAGTTCTGGAGCACGTGCTTTGCATGCGGAAGGTCCCATGTTCAACTCATAGCATCTCCCCATGTAGAGCTGGGAGAGGCTCCTCCTGCCTGTGTGAATGTCATGGACTGGCTGGATGCATAGGAGTGGTGGGAGGCACTAGCTGAGGAATCCCCCAAGGAACCCTAGGGGAAGAAGACTCAGAGTTAGGGTGGTGGCGGAGTGGTCAGAGGGAGATGCCTGGGAGATGGTGGTGTCAGAAGCAGAAGAGGTAACGGTTTAGTGAGCAGGAAGAGGCTGTGGCAGAGACTGAAGCAGATGCTAGAGAGGAGGTTGGCTAAGAGGCAGAGTTGAGGCAGACTGCTGAAGAATCCAGGGAGTAGCCCCCTCCCGCTGTGACCACCCCAGCCCCCACCTCCAGACTCGTAAAAAAACACACAGGAGAAAAGGAAAAGAGCAAAGAGCAGAGCAGAGATTGATTGTGGACTGATGCCGTTTTCAACTGCTTGGGAAAGACCCTGGAAAGAAGGAGCTTTAGAGAGCAGGGGAAAAGTGAGGACCTCCAGTCCTTGCAGTTGCCTCATTGGAGCAAGACCTACTGGGAAGAGTTGCTGGGATCACTAGGCCTGTGCTGTTTTGGTTTCTTGAATACAGTGGTACCTCAGGCTAAGTACTTAATTCGTTCCAGAGGTCCGTACTTAACCTGAAACTGTTCTTAACCAGAAGCACCACTTTAGGTAATGGGGCCTCCTGCTGCCACTGTGCTGCCAGAGCACGATTTCTGTTCTCATCTTGAAGCAAAGTTCTTAACCTGAAGCACTATTTCTGGGTTAGCGGAGTCTGTAACCTGAAGTGTATGTAACCTGAAGCATATGTAACCTGAGGTACCACTGTAATGAGTTAACTTCACTGTGTTTTTTATTGGTGACCTATGCCTGACACAATCTCCTTGCAGCACTGAGCTAGCTGGACCAATGGTCTGACTCATTATAATGCAGCTTCCTAGTTTCTCTTCAAGCCTACATTAGTCAGAAAGCCTGCACACATAAGTTGTTTAAATCCTATTTACTTTGGGACTTGAATCTTGTTTCCTGATGGAGGTAGTTGTAACTTCTGTCCCATGGACAGTGAAGATAAATTCAGTTGGAAAATTATTTTGCCTGGCTTCTATAGAATGAGTCAGGAATGTAGCCCATCAAGCTTGGCACTGACTAGTCTAGCAAGAGCCTAGTCACATATGTATCATGCTTGTAAAGTGTATTCAGATGAGATTTGTTTGCTCTTTTCTAGATTTCTCATAAGGTTGTAGTGTGACCAAGGGAGAAGCAGAAATGCAGATAGATCAAGACCTGGCAAAGCGGCTCTTTTTTGAGGGCGCTACAGTCATCATTTTGAATGTGCCAGAAGGAACAGAGTTTGGCATTGACTACAACACTTGGCAAGTGGGCCCCAAGTTCCGTGGAGTCAAGATGATACCCCCTGGAATTCATTTCCTTCACTACAGCTCTGTTGATAAGAACAATCGCAAAGAGAGTGGCCCTCGCACCGGCTTCTTCATGAACTTGCAGCCGCGGGATCTGCGAGTGCTACACTGGGACCCCGTCAGGGAAGAAGTAGACCTTACCCCAGCTTCTGAAAATGAGACTGAAGCAATGAGGACTAACCTCCAGGAGATGGACCAATTTCTGGGTCCTTACCCATATGACACTCTTAAAAAATGGATTTCCCTCACTAATTTCATTAATGAATTTGTGATGCAAAAACTACAGCCAGAAAGTGGACAGATATGTGCCTTTTCAGAAGTGCTTCCTATTTTGCCTGGGAGGTTTACTAAAGATCGAGTTGAACAGAACCTGCCCCGGTATGACACAGAGTGCAAAAGCTATGCAGAGGGGTTGGCCCGGCTGCCCAAAATGCAGCTGAAAGCTGGCACTGAGATCAGGTTTACAGAAATACCTAAGCAAATGTACCCTGAAGGTGCTACCCCTGAAGAAGTTACTAGGCATAGCATGGACCTTAGCTATGCCCTGGAGACGGTGATCAGTAAACAGTATGCCAGCAATTCCCAGGATGTGCTTGGTGAGTTAACCTGCTTTTACAGAAACTGCTTTTCTTGTTGCTATCAAAGTATCTCTCAGGTGCCATTTGCATGCCAAAATGTGTCTGGAAACAAAATTTCTGAACCGTAATGCATACTTCTGTTTTGAAGAGGTATGCAGGACTTTTTTCAGTGTTTGCAACTGTCATCAATATAACAGTTCAGTTCCACTCATGAATGCTTCTATGCTGTTCAGAAGTAACCAGAGAAGTAGCCTTTTGTGATAACAAATCTGACTTCACTTATAACATTTATATCTGGTTAAGTGATAAATTTGGGTAGGGTGCAGTCTCCCTCACCCCCTTCTCACTAAACAACCATGTTTGCGTAGAAAAGACAGTAGGTTAATTGAGAAACCAAAAACTTCATGTGTGATATTGGTGACCTCTAGTGGTAAAGCTAGGGTTCTGCTTTGACAGATTTCAGAAGTAAGGCATTTGTTATTTAATTACTTATTAGAGACAATTGGCTGCTGTCTCTCAGTAGTGGTACCTTAATTATCAGCTCTCACCCTTGGAACAAAGGAAAGCTGTGGACATGTGCTACCCTAGGGAGCGTGTTCTTGAATAAATCCTATAGATATCATGGGGAGAGAACCATGAAATCAAGCTGGGATGACAGTAGCCTTCTCAAGATTAGTTTAGTAATTATAATAAAATCCTCTGTTTAGATCTAATTTTCACAGAATATAACATTTGGTATTGAAACTATCCACAGGAATGCAATTTAACCACTTCTGCAAATAATTAAGATTTTCATGCATTGCAAGGTTTAAGTTTTTCCTTCATTACTGCTTTATCTGCATTACATGTTGGCATCTACAAATCCACTTGCAGAGCTTAAGTGGCCCTGACTCTTTAGTGATAAAAGTGACCACAGTTACTGACATCTCAAAGCTAAGAAGCCTCTTCTGCTCTTTCTTACCTTCTCCATTCATCTCAGCAGAAGTGGGAGAAATCCCTGTCCCTCAAGCATTCTGCACATGCTGGAGGCCTTAGAGAGGGAAGGGGTTGGGTACAAACAGCAGCTAAGCAATATTTGTGGACCTATGTTTAAATGCTGGAACTCATTCTGAGCCCTGGACCAGTAATTGCCAATAATAGAAATTATGCAGAGCATTGGAGTATAAGTATGCAAGCCATTAAGCCGTATAGAAACTTAATCAGGCAATGCCGTTACATGAGGAAGGGTAGGTAAACAGTGATGGCTAATCTTTTTGCCAAATGTGGCTCATGTCAAATCCAAACCATGAGAGAACTCTGCTCTAGTGCCTAGTTCAGTAGCTATATAGCCCCCTGTACCTTAACGTGGTTTTATCACAAGCTTTCTCTGCCAGGGAGGAGGCAGGCAGAATACCACTGTGGAGCTTACTTGTGGGCATGCCAAATATATAGCCCTCTTTTTCTTTGAAGTTCTAGGCATGCACCCAAAGCAGGTTTATGGAGGCCCTAGTGGGCCACCTTACATTGCTGTTGGGCTGTGTTCACAAGTTATGCAGATCTGCTTTATATTATAGCCAAGGCTTTCATGTAAAGATCTTAATTAGAGAGGCTCTAATGCCCTTGCTGTTGGGTGGCTGGCTGTAGAGAGAAACTTCATGGTGGTGGTATCCCAGTTGTGAAATTCTCTTTTCAGAGATATTTGCTGGCACCTACCTTATTGTCCTTTTGATGCCTGAAAACAAAGTATTTCCTGGTATTTTTTAGAAACCATTTCAATCCTGCTGACTCCTTCATGCTGCTTTTACGATATTGTGGCTTTTAGTTTATTATGGGGTTTTTTGTATTTACTTTTTAACTGTATTATTGTGTTTGTAAATTTTCCTTGGAAGTATGAATGGTGTTATAAAAATAGTTAAATAAATAATAAAAGCAGTGTACCCCTTTTGTTGGGACGCGGATGGCGCTGTGGGTAAGAGCCTCAGCGCCTAGGGCTTGCCGATCGAAAGGTCGGCGGTTCGAATCCCCGCGGCGGGGTGCGCTCCCGTTGCTCGGTCCCAGCGCCTGCCAACCTAGCAGTTCGAAAGCACCCCCGGGTGCAAGTAGATAAATAGGGACCGCTTACTGGCGGGAAGGTAAACTGTGTTTCCGTGTGCTGCGCTGGCTCGCCAGATGCAGCTTGTCACGCTGGCCACGTGACCCGGAAAGTGTCTCCGGACAGCGCTGGCCCCCGGCCTCTTAAGTGAGATGGGCGCACAACCCTAGAGTCTGTCAAGACTGGCCCGTACGGGCAGGGGTACCTTTACCTTTACCCCTTTTGTTATGCTACCTGAATTGAAGCTAAACAAACACCTTCTTGTTTTTTTCTTGTGTGTGTAACCTTTTCAGGGGAACTGCAGTTTGCCTTCATCTGCTTCTTGATTGGGAATGTATATGATGCCTTTGAGCACTGGAAGAAACTCCTGAATCTCTTATGCAGGTCAGAGGATGCCATAGTGAAGCATCAGGCCCTGTTCGTTAACCTCATTTCGGTCCTGTACCATCAGCTCAGTGAAATCCCAGCAGACTTCTTTGTGGACATTGTTTCCCAGGACAACTTTTTAACCAACACCTTGCAGGTAAGGGAGCTGGTTTTGGTACTGTAGAGGTTGGGAAGCAGTAGTGGGGAGAATTTCCCCAAGAACTGCATGCATATGCAAAATGCAGCGTCATAATGAGAGACAGTTCTCACAATCTGAAATTGAATGGTTTTTGCTTGAATGTTGATACCATTTAAAATTTTAAAAAGTAAGAAAGCTCCCCACTCCCCAGCCAATCAAACTAAAATCCAGTTTGTGTCTTGAGACGAAACTACTATGGCAAGCTATCATGAAGTTTCCCTCCCCATATTGAAAACCTATGTTACAATCCTTTCTCTTCCCATAATGTGCTGTTAAAATGTCTGATGTAACATTGTTACATGTATTTTTCTGACCCTGTTCCTTTTCTTTAAATAATGAAAATTTTATTTTATTTTGAAATGGAGTTAAAAATACTGGCCACAGAACATGCATACACTCTCACATACAACACAGTTTTTATTGTTGTATTTATATACTACTTTATATGTGAATCTTACAAAAAGTTTCACAAAAAACATTGCAGCAGTAAGCATAATTTAGGGAAGGAACCAGGCAGAGGGCCTTCTCAGTAGTGGCGCCCACCCTGTGAAACGCCCTCCCGTCAGATGTCAAGGAAATAAGCAACTATCCGAATTTTAGAAGACATCTGAAGGCAGCCCTGTTTAGGGAAGTTTTTAATGTTTGAAGTTTTATTCAGTTTTAAACGCAGCCAGATGGGCGGGGCAGAAATAATAATAAATTATCATCATCATTTTTTAAATAAGAGTTAAAACAAAAGAGAGAAAAAACTGCTTGTTTAGAGAGAATTAGAACTTTCCCCGCTTCCATCAGAGCAAGATGGTTTTTCCAAAAGATGTATGGTAGCAGTTGGGAGAGAGAGGGGCCACCCCTGAGAGCTAGGTGGTGGCAGGTCACCAAGATATTTCTCTGGTGTTATCTGAGAAGTTTGGAGGACTTCCACATAGGAAATAAGCAAAAACCCTGATATCATAATACCTTTTTGAAGGATTTTGCTGAGTAAGTTTGTATATAAGCATAGTCTTTCAATTTTAATTATCCCAGAGTGGGTGGGGCACAATTATTGTTGTTATCCCAAGCTGTATACAATTGCTTAAGAAAGTCTTTGTGCTGGAATCTATGGTAGTTCATTCAAAATGATGATGGAGGATAGATTTCGGAGATAGCTGTGGTTTAGTGTGCGGTAAACAGCAACCATGTCCCAAAACTCCTGCACTATTGGGCGTTCCCACTAAAGGTGAAAACATTAAGCAATGTGAGTACATCCCTTCCAACAATGCTGACATGTTTGAATAGGAAGCCTTACAGGAATAATATACCACTTTCTGAGAACTTTTTCTTCATCTTTATATTGGTATTAATTGCTAAATTTGCAAAAGGGCTACAGAATCTCCTGAAAAGGTGTTGGGGGGGGAGAGTCTTGTTGCTTAAGTAGACCCTGTTCTTCTCATGCATACCCCACTCTGTGTTGAATTCTACCCACTCTGTCAATCACTTTCTTCCAAAGAAAGTGTCTCTCCCATGGCCATGCATAGGATAGATTGGCCTTTGGAGGATATTATAAGTAGATGAAGTCATCTCTATAGCCAAAGATGTAGTAGCTTCTGTGACTGATTCAAACAAAGTGAGTGGGTACTTGTTTGGTAAATCTGACTGAGAAAGTGATGTAATTGTACGGATACAGAAACTGTATGGTTGATTCAGGGTTCCTTTTCGAGATATTTACATAAGAGAGAGATTTTCCTTTTTTCAATAGATCAAACTAAACTTTTGCTGCTATCCCAGAATTAAAGCCACAGATTATGAATGATATTGAAATTAGTGGAGACCTAGAATCATAGTATTGTAGAGTTGGAAGGGACTCTGAGGGTTATCTAGTCAACCCCCCTGCAATGCAGGAACAGCAGCTAAAGAATTCCTGACAGATGGACATCGAACCTCTGCTTATAAACCTCCAAGGAAGGAGAGTCCACCACCTCTTGTGTGAGTCTGTTCCACTGTCAAACAATTCTTAATGTTAGAAAGTTCTTACTGATGTTAGTCGGGATCTCCTTTTTTGTAACTTGAATTCGTACGTTTGGGTCCTAGCCTCTGGAGCAGGAGGAAAGAAGCTTGCTGCATCCTCCAAGTATATTTGAGGATGCTACTGCTCCTCCCTGTTTGAACTGTTCCTTCTTTAGTAGGTTGTACCCCACAATTTCTACCTTCCAGTCATGAGTCACATCCCACCAGGTTTCAATAACGCATATTAGGTTATATTTGCCATCCTTCATTAAGAGCTCAAGTTATTCTTGCTTTCCCATACTCTATGCATTCGTGTTGCTCACCTAGTGGTGATTTTGCCAGCTACTTTGAATATAATGCAAAGGCACGATCTAAGAAAGAAAACTCCATGCCCAAGGCATCCGTTTCAGGTGCCTGTCTAGCCTATGCCTGAGCATCTCCAGTGAAGGAGATACCACAGCTTTCTCTGATTTCTGCCTTTCGCCTTTCTGGCTTTGTCCTGGCAGGCTCCTTTTAGACTTTGTTCTGGCAAATTTACCCAGAACAGCAATAAAATAAAGCAAGATGGGCTGTGCGAGTGAGTGCTGCATTTGTTCCGGAGGACCAGGATGTCAAAGTACATGCACAATTCCTCTCTATGTGATCAAAGAAAGGTGGCAGTCACCCTTCCCATCTATCAGCATCCCTCCATGTCTCAACCATTGCTACTGCAGAAGGCTTGTAGGCATTCGGGATCAGCTTTTTGTGCAGGGGAGGAGAGAGCTGAAAGCCTGCATCTGTGCATGAAAGATTGAGCATGGCCTCTTGGATCCCGGCCATAGAATTTAGCTGTTGTGTGTCATTCATTCTGGAGGACTGACAACACTCTTGTCAACAAATTGAAATTCAATCAGGCTGTATAATAATGATAATTGTTTCTTTCCAGCTTTGAAGCCGAACAGAAGCAGTACTTTTTTAAAAAAAAAAACACACGAGGCAGCTGGAGGAAGCATCTCCTAGTTGCTTTATGATAGTTGTAAACAAGAGTTGTTGACAGCAGGTGGCAGTTTCCGATATTCAAGTAACCCATTAGCTAATTTGTGTATATGCTTGTCTGCAAGAGACCTAAGAAAATTACATTGTGTTGCTGCTTCCTGATGAAAGCTTGCTTTGAGGGCCTTCAGGAAAGCTAACCTTGCAGAAGACAGTTTGAGTTTTCATGTCATCATTTTTCTATCTATGTCTAGAACAGTATGCTGCATTGGACATCAGAGGTGCTATTCAACTAAGATGACTCATTATAATGAATGAACAGGGCTAAGTTAAGTCAATTTATTCAATGAGTCTTCTGTGAGTAAAACTTAGCTCAATACCACCCTAAGGCTTCAGATCCTTGCTCAGCCATAAAGCTCCCTGGGTGACCCTGGTCATTCACCTTTTCTTGGCCTAACATATGTTGCAGGAGTATTGTCTGAATATGATGGATAACTCTGAAATCACCAGGGAAAGGTATATAGGCAATAAAATTCCAAGGTGGGAAGGATTTCTGTGTGCTTATTTGCAAGCAAGAAGTGTGACGCTGTTCTTGTACTGTTTTGTATGCACATTGTTCCCACACAACTAGCGAGGCTTTAATTTACTTCCTCCTCCTCATGGGGACATATGTACAATTTTACTTTGACTGCAATGTCAGATACAGGAATTATTTGTAGAGCATTCCCATGACTTAGAACGCAGCTGTGCAATATGCATTTACTCATTTATCTCAGGCTTTCAGTGCTCACTGATGGTTGGGAGGTGTTACATTCATAAATGTTAATAGCAAATTTTTCTCAAACTGAATTCTGGCAGAACCATTTCCTTATTTTAGTGACATGTATGCTGTGCTTCCCTCTTATCACTTTTATGGCTGGCCCAAACATAGAGCTTTCTGAATGTCAGATAACTGGTTGAAAGCATGAACGTCAAGTAACAATGTCAGGTTTTGTGTCTTTTCACCTTGTTAGGCAAGCCTTTTCTACCCTTGTTATTATAACTGGGAAATAGATCATCTTGTACCTCTGAGCTTTAGGTGCAGCATTCTTCTCAATAATAGTGCTTTAATTTGGGCTGAAATTAGAAATTCTGGCCAAAGAAGGTAATGCCAGTTGAGACTGAATACTGTGTTACTAAACTAGAAATGCATTAACATTGGCTTAAAAAAATTGGAAATGCATTAACATTGGCTTTTTAAAAAAAATTCTTACATGAATGACAGATAAAGAAAATAAAGACTTTATGTCTTGTGTGAGGCCATATAAATTAGAATGGCAAGAGAGGGGAAGATCCTTGAGGCACTGTGGGGTTCTTTGTGCGGGACAGAATCTGTTTAGCTTGTGGAAGAGGAGCATGTCAAAAGGGGGCCTTGGAACATTGGAATCTGGAACTGTCTTAAGTGTTTTTAAACATGTCTTTACAGTCATGTGGGCTAGAAATTTTGATTTATTTTAGATAGATAGATAGATAGATAGATAGATAGATAGATAGATAGATAGATAGATAGATAGATAAGTAGTCAGATTCTGCACCACAAGCCAAACCCTTCTTCACATGCAAAAAATAACCTGTTGGTGCTGCCTAGCAGACAGAAAGATTATTGCTTAATCATTAAATGAGCTGAACTGAGTAGCAGCAGGTTGCTTTGTTTCTCCTTCTCAAGAGGCCACAAGGCAACTTGATTCCTGCCCAGCATAGCGCATAAAAAAGGGGGGGGGACTCATTTAAATATCTGCTACCTCACAAAGTGCAAGTAGATAAATAGGTACCGCTCCAGCGGGAAGGTAAACAGTGTTTCTGTGCGCTGCTGTGGTTCGCCAGAAGCCACTTAGTCATGCTGGCCACATGACCCGGAAGCTGTACGCCGGCATCCTCGGACAATAAAGCGAGATGAGCGCCGCAACCCCAGAGTCGGTCACGACTGGATCTAACACTCAGGGGTCCCTTTACCTTTACCTCCCAAAACAGTTGCAGCTGTGTGGATGGCTTGAACACTGGCCCAAAGCGTTTCTGTCTCTCTCCTCTTCTGCTCTCCAACTCCCTTGTTTCTTGCCATCTAACCTGATGAAGACTTCTGGGGAACTCAAAACTTACATATGATTTTGTAACATTTTGGTTGGCCTTGCAACGGCATTGCTTTAAGGTAGTTTTTTTTTATTACCTTTTTTCTTACGGGACCACCTTTTAATATTTGCTAAGCTTTTAGTATCCCAGCAGTACCTGGCTGATTTTTTTCAAAATGCAGTAACTGGACACTTCATTTTTCATGTGGCTGTTACTGTGCTGGTGAAGGGAGTAAAACAAAAAAAATAAAATAAGGGTTTTGGTTTTCTAATGCCTAGATTACTTTGTAATTAGTTTAGTAGGAGAAGGCACTTCACACTATGACAAACAAGGTGCAAAATGACACAAAGCAGTGAACCACACCTTGATCTTTTTGTGCTTTTTCCTGCTGTCCGCAGGTCTTTTTTTAATTTTAGAAAAAGCAGCAACAACAGCACAAGCTTTCCTCCTGCATTACAAAGTTTCTCCTTTGCGTGTTCCTGCAATGGAAATGTCTTTGCTTTTGGCTATCAGTTGGTTGCCTTGGAAATGAATTATGTGTAACAAATTTAGCACAGAGGCAGAAGAGATGAGCTTAGAGATGAGATTTCTAATCGAACACACATGTGACAGGTCAAAAGTAACAGGAGCTATCCCCTTGTGTGTGAAAAGTTAAGAGATTTAAATTTGAGAGAGCATGGCCCTTTCAAAATGATGGTTAATTCTAAGGCTCAAGTTATTCATAAATAGAATGAATCATATTACCCGATTATAAAACCTTTTGAATACTTTTATTTTTAAAAGAGAATTGTCTCACCCAGATAATTTGGAAGTAACGGTTACTTGCTTAAAAATCGTGGGCAGCAGGTGTTAAGAGGCATTCCTCCTCCTGTTTTCCACAACAGGGAAGCTCAGTTGGTAGACCATGAGACTCTTAATCTCAGGGTTGTGGGATCCAGCCCCATTCTGGGCAAAAAATTCCTGCATTGCAGGGGGTTGGACTAGATGACCCTCGTCCCTTCCAACTCTACAATTCCATGGTTCTATGAATGTGGCTTTTAAGATTGTGCCTGTTGTGGCATATGGGCAACCTCATATTTGCCTATTTGGCATAGGTGACACAAGGGAGCCGGATCAGGGTGGCAGAGGAGGGATGGATTGCTCTATCACATTTCCAGCCTACTTGATTTCCTTCTTCCCGTGGAGGAAGGGTCTAGCTTGGACCCACCTGCACATTCACACCCTGTTTGATAGAAAGTAGAGCAACGTTTGTGGGCTTCTTTACAAGGCTGCATGTGTGCACGATCTAAAGCACTTCCCCCTTCAGAAATGTTTTCATATACAGATTTTTGGAGGCTTAATTGATCACCAGTAAATTGGGTAAATCTGAAATGATTAATGGACTAAGGTTTCTAGCATCCTGTAACACTTCCCATTTATCCAGGAATTGCTATAATTGACATGGTTTGAGATCTTTTTTTCTGTACAAGAATGTCAGAATTCTGTTTCTTCTCAACATCCAAAACAGAGTATTATGGATAACTCCATTGCTTCTCTAAGTCACAACTCTAAACCTTTCAAACCTTATGCTTAGGTTTGTATCAGGTTTTTGTGTGTGCCTCTGTGATGCAGGAGCATATTAGGTTGGGTTTTGACCTTTGACATTTCCCCCTTAAAATTATTATTATATAATTAGTATTATATGTATGCAGTCCAGTCAGGTTTCTCCTCTCTCTGTGCCCAATGGTATTTTACTCAGAGTAGGCCCATTGAAATTAATGGACCCTAGTTAGCCATGTTCATTAACTTTGGTAAGTGTACTCTGGGTAGGGCTAGCATTGGATACAACCCAGTGTGTTTTCTATACTATTCTACTAACGGACTGTACTGCGTTTTTTCTAGGTCTTCTTCTCCTATACCTGCAGCCCAACTGTTGACAGGACTCTGAGAAAGAAGGCAGAGAGGTTTAAGGTCCACCTAACCAAGAAGTTCAAGTGGGACTTTGAGGCTGAGCCAGAAGACGATGCCCCCGTGGTAGTTGAGCTTCCAGAAGGGGCACTTGTGGACTGAATGGCAATTTCCCTTTTCCTGTTTTGTTTTTAAAGCAGTATTTTGAACTGTTGTACCATACTTGATTCTGTGTTCTACACTTCTATTTTCTCCTCCCTTCACGGAGGCAGAACTGTGAAATCCAGAAAGTCTACCAACTTCCTTCCTGCTAGAAATAAAAATTCTGGGAGATACAGACTAGATTACGTCTAGATTCTTTGCCGGATTGAATCATTTTGAGCTTCAACGCTTGCTGTGACTCAGTTCTTTTGTCACTAACTATCTCGTACTCTTACCTGGAAGTAAGCTCCATTGAATACAATGGAGTGTACTTCTTTCTTAACATGCGCAGGATTGCACTGTTTGATTGTTGATGAACACACTTTTCCTTTGTTGAAGAACCACATGTGACATAGTGGTATTGAACTCTTGACTTGTTTATTCTTTAGTTCCATGCTGCTTTAGTTCCATAACTGGTAAGCCAGATGGCCGTGTTCAGGAGACTTTGTGCATCATCTTCTAATACATGCCAGAACTGAACAATGCTGTGTAGAGATATTTCATAAACACTTCAAATGGAGTTAGCCTACACAACTTGGGTTGTCATTCATTGTAAATTTCCAAGCTTTTGCTTTTACTGTGGCGTTACTAGAATTATTCCTATCGTTTTTCTTCATTCCATCACTTTTATACTCTGTCCCTACCTTTCTTTAGCCTGGCGGAGGATTTCCTTACCACTTTTCAGAGCAATAGAAGTGTCCAGGGGGAGCAAATGTGAAATGAAAGAGAAATTTCATATTTAATCAATGGCACTTTCCTGTCTGAGCCTTTACTAAAAAGCTCCATGGAATGTTCTTATTTCTTTTTACTTATGTCCTCTCTCGGGACAGACAAGCACTTCCTGTTGTGACTTCAGAGCAATGAAAATGCTATAAAGCAGCCTGCAGCAGGCATGCTGCCTGTTATCTTTTAATGCTTTCTCTGAGGTGCAGGGATGTTGGTACATTTTTCAAATAAGAATCCCTACTGTGTCAGGTTCCGTCAAGAGTTGGTGTGTGTATCTGACAAGATAACCTGTGTGTTAGCGTTCAGCACACAATAAATGTCCCTGCGTTAGGTATTTCTACAAAATGTCCCTAAAGTCTTCTCTGTGTGAAATATTTTAGCAAAGGTGTGTTCTGGGTGGTTGCTGACATGGCTGCGATGGCGATGAAATGTTCTTTATCTTGCCTGCCACCTTGTCTGTTTCATACCCAAGTGTAGCTAGTTTTCAAGTGCTATGCTTTAGTATTAATATAAGTTAACATTCATGGTCTGCAAAGCCCTGAGTTTCTGTTCCTTCATATGTATAAGAGTAGTCACAGCAATCGGATATAAGGCGGCAAGTCTAACTTAATCCAGGATGACTCACCTCTATAATTACACATAACAGCCTTGTTCAGATGTAAACCTGAGGCTTTTAAGCCATAATTTCTCATTAAATACCCATGACTGCTCACCTACTTTCCTGCATGGCTGGGCGGAAAAGCTTTACCTAACTCCACCACTGTTGGGTGGCTTTTGTCATCTCAGGTGGCATGTAACACCCCAACTATAATTTGTTTTTGTGTTTGACCCAGGGCAAACTCACTAGCAGTAACTACGGTTTGTGTGAACAAGTCAACTTCAAACCACAGTTTAAAATCCTGGCTTGTTTGGATAAACCATAGTTAAGGCACATGTCACAGTTCCGCCATGGTGACAAAATGTGCTTAGCAGAAAGTAGGACTAAATGCTTCCATTTTGGACTCTGGGATTGATGGTTATATGAGGGGGTCCTCTGACTCACTCAACTGAGTGGGCCCATGTGCTAGCATTCTGATCTGATGGCACCACTGCCACCAAGATACGGCAAAGGCTTGGCTGCATGCATGCATGTATGCAGAGTGTCTGTTTGCATGCTCTTGCTGCACACCTTCAGTTTGCCCCTTCAGTGGCTCAGCAGTTCCTGCTTGTGTAGTATTTCCAGTCCTAATCCTTGCAGGCACTGAACAACCAAGAAGTCAGAAGGAGGATCCAGCCATTCCCTGTGTCCTCCAGCCAGTGAGCAGGGGCTTGACAAAGTAAAACGCTAAGCCTTAAGACCTGCAATCACTATGAAAAAGGGTTTTTCCCATAGTGTGTGATCACAGTTGGGACTTCTTGTAGAAAAATTATTCTGAGACCCCTTGACTTAAAAAAAAAAAAGTAAACAGAAAGTGGAGAAGATGGATGTTTGTATGGACCAAAGGTTTTTAATAACCTTTTTTTTAATGTAACTGGCAGATGGAAAATAGGAAGTTCTTTTGTATCTTTTGCTAATTGTTTTTATATTTTTCTTTCTCTTTCCTTTATTTCTATCGCCCTTTCCTTCCTTTCTTCAGTTTGTATCTTTGGTAGTTGTAATCTTACTGTATTATGGGAAACATTTAATAAAAAATCTTAAAGCCCAAAGAAAAGGGGATTTTTCAATAGTTTAGGGGCCAGAGAACCTTGTGGATATAAGTAACTCTTTGTCTTTTCTTACAGATTTGACCCATGAAGCCTCTTACGGACACTTTTATTATCAATCTCATTTGTATTCTTCCTTCTGCCAAAATAACAATTATAATCACCACAATCATAATATAAAACATCAGGGTGGCACACAAACCTGCCTTCTCCTGAGTGACAGACTCAAAAAGGCATGCGTATAGAGTTCAGTCAGTGGTGGGATTGAAGCTGTTTCAGGTGCTTGAAGTGGTCTGCTGAATGACCAGGGCTGAACTTTGAGATGCACATTGAAAAGGGGAGCTCAAGGACTGCAATGTCTGAGTGTGGGCAAGTAATGTAGAAGGCCCTATACATGCCTGAGAGGCCTCAGCTGTGGTCCAAAACTGAAGGCAGCAGCCTGGGGAAGATTGATATAGCCAGTGCCTAGATGGAATTATTTTATTATAAATACCGTATTTTTCGGACTATTGGACGCACCGGTCCATAGGACGCACCTAGATTTGGGGGGGGGGGAAATAAAGGCAAAAAAAATTTATTCCCCCCCCCCCCCGCCAGGCGCGGGGCTGGGGCGGGGAAGCCCGAGCTTCCCCCTCCCCCAGAACGGGACCCAGAGCCATGCCGAAGCTGCGCGCAGCTTTGGCATCGCTCTGGGAGCTTGCAGGGCTGGGGGAGGAGGAAGCCTTCCGCCAGCCTCCAAACCATGTCGGGAGACAGCGGGATGGCGCGCTGCGCCTCTCCCGCTGTCCCCCGAGTTTGCGGGGCTGGGCCAGCCTTCTAACCAAGTCGGGGGACAGCGGGAAGGGCGCGCTGCGCCCCTGCCGCTGTCTCCCGAGTTTGCGGGGCTGGCGACGGGGAGGAGCAGGCTTCTCCCCCCGCCAGCCTTCTAGACAAGTCGGGGGACAGCAGCAAAGGCGCGCTGCGCCTCTCCCGCTGTCCCCCGAGTTTGCGGGGCTGGCGACGGGGAGGAGCAGGCTTCTCCCCCCGCCAGCCTTCTAGACAAGTCGGGGGACAGCGGGAAAGGCGCGCTGCGCCTCTCCCGCTGTCCCCCGAGTTTGCGGGGCTGGCAACGGGGAGGAGCAGGCTTCTCCCCCCGCCAGCATTCTAGCCAAATCGCTGCGCCTCTCCCGCTGTCCCCCGAGCTTGTGGGGCTGGCGGTGGGGCTCTCCTGAAGCCTGGAGGTTGTGGAGCGCCGCCATCCCGCTATTCCCCGACCTGATCTGGAGGTTGTGGGGCTGAGGGGGGGGGAGAAGCAGGCTTGCTTCTCCCACCCCCAGCCTCCAGATCAGGTCGGGGAATAGCGGGATGGCGGAGCGCCGCCATCCCGCTATTCCACGACCTGATCTGGAGGTTGTGGGGCTGGGGGGGGGGAGAAGCAGGCTTGCTTCTCCCACCCCCAGCCTCCAGATCAGGTTGGGGAATAGCGGGATGGCGGAGCCCCGCCATCCCGCTATTCCACGACCTGATCTGGAGGTTGTGGGGCTGGGGGGGGGGAGAAGCAGGCTTGCTTCTCCCACCCCCAGCCTCCAGATCAGGTCGGGGAATAGCGGGATGGCGGAGCGCCGCCATCCCGCTATTCCCCGACCTGATCTGGAGGTTGTGGGGATGGTGGGGGGGAGAAGCAGGCTTGCTTCTCCCACCCCCAGCCTCCAGATCAGGTCGGGGAATAGCGGGATGGCGGCGCTTCGCCATCCCCCTATCCCCCGAGCTTGTGGGGCTGGGGGGGAGAAGCAGGCTTGCTTCTCCCCCCGCCAGCCTCCAGATCAGGTCGGGGAATAGCGGGGTGGCGGCTCTGCGCCTCCCCGCTGTCCCCAGCTTTTGGGTGCAGGCTGCTGCCCGCAAGCCTTGCGAGCCAGCGGGACATCCCGCCGGGCTTGCAAGACTTGGGATAGCTTCCTGAAGCCTGGAGAGCGAGAGGGGTCGGTGCGCACGGACCCCTCTCGCTCTCCAGGCTTCAGCAAAAGCCTGCATTCGCACCATAGGACGCACACACATTTCCCCTTCATTTTTGGAGGGGAAAAAGTGCGTCCTATAGTGCGAAAAATACGGTAAATAAATACCCTGCCCATCTGGCTGGGTTTCCCCAGTCACTCTGGGTGGCTCCCAACACAACACTAAAAACAGTATAAAACTTCAAACATTACAAACTTCCCTAAACAGGGCTGCCTAGAAACTGTATACAGCACATAGAGTTCTAGGATGGAAGCTAAGTGGCGAACACAGATGGCGTAAACAATCCCATCGTAAAGGGACCCTAATATGGGACAATTTTCTTCATACATTTTTGTTGCTGCAGGAGTAGAAATACGTTATTTCTGTCAATTTACTAAAATGGTTTGACATGTTAATCTTGCATTTTGTATTAAAAAGGAAAACTGCTTTTCACCTCACGATCCTGCCAATGTAAAGATAAAAGTCGGGTGGGTTTAGGGTTCCCCCTCCCCCATAATGAAAATGCCTCTCTTGTCACAGTGATGTGATGACATCTCACAGTTAGGGAAGTGTGAAGAAGCGGGGAATGGGGGGGGGGTTCATTTCTATTTTCCCTGTCAGATTTTTGAATCAATCAACTTTTGTCAGACATGCAATTGGACAGAAATGTAAATTGCTAATTTTGCTGCCTCTTGCATGAAGCCTTCCGAGTGATTTACAGCTTCAACCACCAGACAAAGTCTTATTTCTCCATCTGGCTTTTCCTTAACAATTTATTCCTGTTTTGCTCTGAGAGCATAAGAAGAGTCTACCGGATCAGGCCGAGTCCACCATCCTGTTCTCACAGTGGCCAACCAGAGATGCATGTGAGAAACCCACAAACAGGATCTGAACACAAGAGTGTCCTCCCCTTTGAGCCATAGCGTGACATTTGAATTATGCTAACTAGATGAGTTGGCAGAACTCTGATCAAATATTCTATTTTTTAATGCAGTTTTATTTGCTTTCTTGCCAAAACAGCTGCTATGGATTTTTTTAATAAACAATTTTGCAAGTGGTGGTTGTGGCAAGGAGGTGTAATTTAGGTTTGGGCTGTTCTCTTGATTTTTATTTTTTTTTAATTGCCCCTTCCTGTCAAAACTGCTGTTAGGCCCATTAGAAGATACTTATATGTACACAATGTCTATCTCTCTTAAGCACGTATTCCCCCAGAGCCATGAGATTCCTGCATTGCATGGGGTTAGACTAGATGACCCTCGGGATCCCTTCCAGTTTTACAATTCTACGATGCTATGATTCTGTTATCTTGAGCTGACAGCCCCCCACCCTCCAACACACACAACACACACAACCAGAGATGGAAGATAGGATTACAGGTCTCCTTTGTCTCATCTGATAAGGTCCTGAGTCCATCTGTTCAGCACTTAGGTATGCTTTACTAGGAACTATATTCCACTGAATTCCAGCAGTTGGGCTGGGATTTACGTTGCCCTAAACCATTTTCCTGTCCATTGTTACCATTTCCAGGCATATTCTCTGATGCCTTATTTTCTCACTGTATGCTGTAACATCCAATCCAAATGTACTATTCAAATCCTGAAAAATTGTACAATCTTAAAAAGAAGCAATTGTGGAGTAGCAAATACAGTGGTACCTCGGGTTAAGAACTTAATTCATTCTGGAGGTCTGTTATTTCTTAACCTGAAATTGTTCTTAACCTGAGGTACCACTTTAGCTAATGGGGCCTCCCACTGCCGCTGTGCCTCCGCCACAGGATTTCTGTTCTCATCCTGAAGCAAAGTTCTTAACCCGAGGTACTATTTCTGAGTTAACAGAGTCTGTAACCTGAAGCATCTGTAACCCGAGGTACCACTGTACTAATCTTGAAATCATCAAAATATGCATTTAAAAGCTCATTTAAAATAGACCCTTTGCATTAAAAGCACTATGCATTTTAGCCTTCTCTAATTTTAATTTCGGGTGTAAGCATTTTACCTTGGCTCTCGTTGATCCTTGTTCTTTTTCTCTTTTATTGATAATTAACATTAGCCCTTTGCAGCCTTTAGGACGATTAAAGCTAGCCTTTGCTCTTTCCTACAGATATGGGTTTTGTTTTGTTTTGTTTACTAGGAAATTAGTTAACAGAGCATGCCTGGGGGATCTTCCACCCAAGCTCACCCTATGACATAATTAGCATGTTGTTGACCACAGAGACCTCATTAAGAATTGGTAAAGGAGTCACGCGGCAGTTACCTAGAGTCTTTCTAAGCTTGGTCAATATGGGAAGCTGATATATGTTCAAATTCCCAAAACGATGGTTTTGGATTTCTCTGCTGCGTGCTCCCCTCCTTGTCCCTGCAGGGGGACTGACTGATTAATTTGCATGGACGGTTTTGCATAAATATGAGCTGCAAAGACTGGCAGCGGGGCTCAGGAGCTTGCAGAAATAGGTCGCCCCACCGAGGCATTGCTATTCAGGTGCCAGGGCTGAGCATGCTGGCTTCCCAGTGGAGCTTATCTCCAGCTTCCAGTGGCGTTCATCAACTTCAGCTTGAAGGGCTTTGTGGCCCCCTGGGGCTTGGGAACAAAGAGCCTGCACTCGCTTGTGTCACCGAATCCTCCCAAGTTGAATGGGCGACTGACATCTCTGAAATTTCTCTAGGCAAGGGGGAAAGAAGGAACAGAGGTGCCTCGGATGGAGGGTTAATTTATAGCAGCCGAGGACGCTCATCTGAATGTGACAGCTGTTTCAATAGGCCAATTTAAGCACACAAAAATTAAAAGGT